AACTGATTATGGAACGTTAGCATGTGCGCATGGCGCCCATGAGCGAAGAAAGACTCTTACCGTCCACTTTCCCCGCCATTCAATCGCGACATTATTCAAGACAGGGTTCAGTCTCTGTCCGATCCAGTAGGACTGGTCTTCAGGGAAAATGATGGTTCCTCCGTTGCCACATTCCTTGAATGCTTCTAAGAGGTTCGGTACATCGTCCTTCTGATGTCCATTGGCCTTCACGGTACATACATTGCCTTTCTTCTGGACATTGCTTGCGCAGCCCAGAGCAGAAAGCCCCAAGAGTAGTGAAAGGGAGGGTGCTGAGGTCAAAGAGAATCGCATTGTGACGGACTTGACGCGCAAACAGAATCCTGAGAGACGGGCTGCTGTCTGCCGACCTCACATTGCGCCATCTCGCTTTTTCTAATAATTGCCGACGGGGGCTCAAGGGTCTCTCCGCAACGTCACATCAAGCACGAAAGCCATCTATCGGGGGCAATTGGCCCGAGTGGGACTGATGAGATGAGGCGGGTAAAGGGGAAATGATGCAGTGCGGAGAAAAAAGACGGGGTAGAAGCAGGAGATGATCCAATTTCCACCAATGACACCCCCATGCAACCTGCAACCTGCATCCCAAGACGTTTGTTCATTTCCCTTCGTCAAGCTTCATCGCATTGAGAAGCTTGTGCGGCACGAAGCTTTTACTTGGGATGAGTGGACCAGACCGATTTATCACTTGTATTTAACCGAGCCACGCCCGAGTGACTCGCGCATTTCCCCTCCTTTCGGCCAAAGCATCGCAAGCGAACCGAGATACAGATTAATTCCAACTCCAGGAAACAACTGTTCGACCACTCGACCCCTCTTTTTGGGTTTCTGGGGTAGAAAGTCCGGGGAATCATCCAGTGGAGATGCCCCCCTTGCTTGTATTTATATCCTTCGTCGCCACAACCATGGGTTCAAGTTTTCTCTCTCAGGTCTGTCGGCACCTGGGATACCTGCATAGGTTGCGATAGACAGCAATTATGCGTTGGCTTCCATCTCTCCTAGGAGCCATTGCTCTTCTTCCTCTTTCTGAAGCCACTTCATGTTGGCGTAACACCACTTGTTCCGGCCCTACAACTGCTGCCTTTCCAGGTTCGTGGGAGAAAAACATCTTCGCTCCGTCTTCTCGAACCGTGAACCCAGAAACGCTCTTCTTGATCAACAAGCCAGATGCCACGCATGAGTATGCTCAGTATAAGCTCCAGGGGAATGGATCCCTGGTGGTCTACGATTTTGGAAGGGAAGTAGGTGGCATTGTCACGGTGAAGTATACCTCCACAGGTAGTGGAGCCCTGGGGTTGGCATTTACCGAGGCCAAGGACTACATTGGTGAATGGTCCGACTCCTCCAATGGAGGGTTCAAAGGTCCCGATGGCGCGTTGTATGGGAACTTTACTGAAGCGGGCGAGCATTCTTATACAATGCCTGACAAGTACCTTCGTGGTGGATTCCGGTACCTGACGCTGTTCTTGATCACGGATAACTCGACTGCAGTTCAGATCAAGGACGTGAGCCTGGAAATTGGCTTTCAGCCCACATGGTCTAATTTGAGAGCCTACCAAGGATACTTCGATTCTAGTGACGACCTGCTGAATGCCATCTGGTACAGCGGCGCCTACACGCTGCAGACTAACGAGGTCCCCGTCAACACCGGTCGCCAGATTCCAGCGATGCCTGCTGGGTGGGCTAACAATGCCACGTTGGGGCCTGGTGACACCATCATTGTTGACGGCGCGAAGAGAGATCGAGCTGTGTGGCCAGGCGATATGGGCATTGCGGTTCCGTCCGCCTTTGTTAGCATCGGCAACTTGGAGAGCGTCAAAAACGCCCTGCAAGTGATGTACAACTACCAGGTATGTAACCGAGAAGGAATTTATGGCCATTTTTGCTAATGAAGAACAGGCCTCGACAGGAGCGTTCGATGAATCGGGACCTCCCCTTAGCCAGAAGAACTCGGACACCTACCACATGTGGTCAATGGTTGGCACCTACAATTACCTATTGTATACCAATGATACCGATTTCCTCGAGACCAATTGGGCTGGCTACCAGAAAGCCATGGAGTATATCTATGGCAAGGTGACCTACTCCAGTGGCTTGCTCAATGTCACCGGTACCCGCGACTGGGCCAGATGGCAGCAGGGGTATAACAATACTGAGGCGCAGATGATGTGAGTACAGTACACTTTACTCCAGACCCAAGCCAGACTGACAGTCGGTAGCCTGTACCACACCCTCAAGACAGGAGCCGAGCTTGCCATCTGGGCAGGTGACACCACTGGTCTGTCGGACACATACACCACCCGGGCGGAGAAGCTGCGGGAGGCCATCAACATGTACTGCTGGGACGACTCGTACGGAGCGTTCAAAGACAATGCAACCGATACGACTCTTCACCCACAAGACGCAAATAGCATGGCCCTGTTGTTTGATGTAGTCGACTCCGAGCGCGCTGCTAGCATTTCCGAGAAACTGACCGAGAACTGGACACCCATCGGTGCCGTGGCCCCCGAGCTACCGGAGAACATTTCACCGTTCATCTCGTCCTTCGAGATTCAGGGCCACTTTACCGTGGGCCAGCCCGCTCGAGCTCTGGAGCTGATCCGGCGAAGCTGGGGTTGGTATTACAACAATGAGAACGGCACCCAAAGCACAGTCATTGAAGGATACCTGCAGAACGGCACGTTTGGCTACCGGTCAAGCCGTGGATACTACTACGACACGGCGTATGTCTCCCACGCGCACGGCTGGTCTTCTGGACCCACGTCGGCCCTGACAAACTACATCGTGGGCCTGACCGTCACCTCCCCGGTGGGGGCAACCTGGAAGCTCGCGCCGCAATTCGGAGATCTCAAGACCGCCCAGGCTGGTTTCACGACTTCGCTGGGCCAGTTCCAGGCATCGTGGACGAAGCAATCGAATGAGTACAGCCTGCAGTTCACCGTTCCGAAGGGGACGACGGGAAGTCTTGCTCTCCCCTACCTCAATTCCAAGAAGCCAACGATCACGATCGACGGCAAGAAGATCACCAAGGGCGTGAGCTATGCCAATAACACGGCAACGGTAGCGGTGGCCAGTGGAGGAAGCCACAAAGTGGTTGTGAAGTAGCCTGATAGCATCTAGTGAGAGAAATGAGTCTTTGACCTCTGCATTATTACATCAAAGCCCGAGGGCACTCTGTAATTTATACCTACCTAGTAAATTCCCCGAGACCCCCATACTTTCCCCACAACCAATCAGGGCAGGTCAAAATCACGTGTCAGCATCTCCGCCGGCACCAACCAGCAGCAGGCCCATCGTCATCGACGCATCCGCCCTCCTCACCCCCATTTCCTTCAAGCCATACCATAACATACGTGACCACCCCGCAAGGCACACAATGGCCACCCCCACCTCCCTCCAGGGCATCGCCATGCCCTGGCGCACATGCAACCAATGCATCCGCCGCCACTACCTCCTGTCCCGCGGCGGCGGACGCCCGCAATCGCGCCTGCACCTCTCCACCACCTCCCCGGTCCGCTCGTCGTCCGGCAGCAGCAGCAGCAGTAGCAACCCCTCCAACCCCCTCCGCACCTCGCGCGTACGCAGCACCGAAAAGGATGTCGCCAACTACCGGCGCTCGATGATCCTATCAGCCAGCGGGATCGCCGCGTGCGCGATCGCCATGTACGGGATCATCAAACTCGACCTCTTCGGCCTGGAACAAACAAAGCAGCAGCAGCAGCAGTCCTCCTCCATCACCGCCACCATCCCCACGGCCCAGGAGGCCCCATCTCCGAAGAAGACGCAACTCGACGGGCCGAACGGCTTCCCCAGCAGCCCGTCGCTGATCACGGTGCACGGGCAAGACCCCGGCGCCGAGCAAGTGGCAACGGGGACCAGCTCGGTGCCGTACTTCCCGGCGACGATCCGCCTGCCCAAGGCGCTGGACGCGGAGAACATCGGCTTGGCGGCGGGCGATGAGATCGCGCTGTCGACCGCCGCCGAGAAACCCGCGGACGAGGAGGAGTACCAGCTGCTGGGGCTGGGGATCCGGACGGTCTCGTTCCTGCGGATCCAGGTGTACGTGGTGGGGATGTACGTGGCCAAGTCGGACATCACGGCGCTGCAGCGGCGGCTGGTGCAGACGGCGGTGAACCCGCCGACGCTGGCGGGGGTGATTGAAGCCGAAACCAAGGGTGATGGGGGGGTGATCACGAACCCCGTGGGCGCGACGGCGGCGACCTCGCTGGTGTCGACGGAGCGCGACCGGCTGCGCCAGCTGCTTCTCGACGCCGGCAGCAGCAGTGGTGGCGGCGAACAGCAGGGCGATCTGGTGTGGGACGCGATCCTGCGGGAGCCGGGCCTGCGCACGGCGTTCCGCATCGTGCCCGTCCGCAACACGGACTTCACGCACATGCGCGACGCCTTCGTGCGCGGCGTCACCGCCCGCGCCCAGAAGTACAACCCCTGGCGCGGCGAGTTCGCGGACGAGGCGTTCGGCGCCGCCGTCAAGACGTTCAAGGCCCTGTTCGGCGGCGGGGCCAACAAGAACGTCCCCAAGGGGCATACGGTGCTGCTCGTCCGGAACTCCCGGGGCCAGCTGGACGCCCTGTACCAGACGGATGTCGCTGACAAGCCCACGCGGTATATGGGCCGCGTCGCCGACGAGCGCGTCAGTCGGCTCGTGTGGTTGAATTACCTGGCCGGGAAGAATGTGTCGAGCGAGCCCGCCCGCGAGAGTGTGGTCGAGGGCATCATGGCGGTGGTGGAGCGGCCGGTGGGCACGGTGGTGCAGAAGGTCTTGTAAATTTAAATCGGCTTGTAGTTTTTATTTACCTCCTACTCTTACTGTGTATCGTGTACCTTTGGGAATCCAACCCCCTCTCTTCTCTCTTTTCTACACTCACAAGACTTGACATGTCTGTACATGTACATGTATCGCTACAACCATACCCGAACTACAAATCCACAAACACCAACCATCGAACAATAACCAAAGTATATTCAACCTAATTCTATCTCCCCGACATGATCCACCCTATTACCCCTGGGTGGAAATCTAAGCCTTCAAAGCCCCCGCAGCCGTCAACAACTGCTTCAGCTGCGCGCGGTCCTTGCCCTGCAGATCCGAGTTGCCGCCGATGTGCTTCTGGCTGATGAAGATGTTGGGCACGGTCTTCTGCGAGGAGATCTCGTACAGAGCATCCTGGATGGCTTGGCCGTCGGCTAAAAAACCCCCACGAAACAAGATTAGCCCATAGTCCCTTCCCCCCAGCGAACCGCGAAAAGACAACAAGGCAGAAACAAAGAAAGAGGGCGAAAGGGGCAACGTACAGATCTGATCCAACTCCAGGACCTTGTACTCGGCGCCCAGATCGTTGAGGAGGCGCTTGCTGGCGACGCAGTAGGGGCAGTAGGATTTGGAGAAGACGACTACACGGTTATCGTTAGTGGGAGAAGTTCTAGGCTATGCTAGACTGGGATAGAGAGGAACACTCACCGACGCCATTCTCGTTGATCAGGTTCTGAGCCTTGGTCTTTGCGGAGGCCATGGTGGCGGGGGAGGGGCCGGCGAAGGAGCCGAAAAGACGAGTGAAGATGGAAGCTATGGTGGGCGAGTTTGGGAAGGAGATTCGACCGGCGCAAGGGACGGGTCGAAGAGGTGGGTTTTTTGTTTGGTGGGTTGGAAAGAAGGAAGAAGAGGGGACGGAAGGGTGAGGGGTAGCGACGGGATTATATGGACGGTACGTTGGAGGACGGGGATAATGGAGAGTGATGTTGGCGGGATGGCGCAAGGCGCAACCTTGAAGGCGGCGCAAGTCTCGGAGTCAAACCCGCGGGGATTATGTAAGTAAGCTCCGCTCCCGGCTATGGCATCATCGCTCCGAGCGTCGAAAGGTTCTGGAAGGAACCGCTTGACAAAGCATCCATGTTTGTTGGGTGACAAATACTCGGATAGTAAATCTAACTAACATAAGTTCCTGTTATCTTCTGTAGGGTAATCTTCTAAGTTCTCCTTTGTCTCCGTGTTGCACTGTAACTGCAGCCTGTCTCGGGCATTTCTACCGCTTCTCACTGGCTGGACACTTCCACTACAGCGACTACATCACCCGATCTCGGTCATATTCTCACAACTGCCATTCTCTAACACTTGCTGATTCAGATTCAAGCAAACACACTCACGACGCAAAATAAATAGCCTGCTCGGCCGACACACAAAAGGAGAGAAAAGAAAAAGGTGTGTGAATTGTCATAATGACCGCTCCAATGCTGATGCTTCGCCAAAGTAAGGGAATTCCAAGGAATGACCAATGCTCAAAGACAGTAAGAGTGAGGGAATCAAACAGGTCGATGGCCGCAATATTAAATGATCGTCTTTTTTAGACACAAAAGTTTGCACAAATAGAAAAAAAAATGGACAAGAATTAAAATCCTAGAGATTTGAACACCACACCCAACCTGCACGCTGAATAAACAGAATAAGAGAAATTGAGAAGCATGATGCAGGGGAAAATCAGGTAAATGCTGCTGAGAAGTAGCTCAGGCTGAGAGGGTTGATATGGCAGGATTAAATCACATTACGATGCAGCATCCGCAGCCCTTCTCCTTCGGGGGTGGCTCTTGCGCCGTCACCACCGGCGGGCTCCATTTGGGTGTCAGTGGTGCTGGCATTGGTTCCTGCACTCGGGGCATAGTGCTATACCCACTGCCTGTGACGGGCCGCGCGTCGGCTTCACCTTCCTTGGACGGGAGCTGCTCTTCGGGCGTTTGCTGTGGTGCTGGCTGCACTTCTTCCTTTGTCTTCTCCTCCATTTGGGGCTTCTCCGGCTCCGGGGCCTCATTCTTCGGTCTCTCCACTTTGAATGGTCCATCCGGTCCGATTGCAAGCGGAGCAAACTCGCGGTCGTACATCGTGGGTGTCTTGCCCTCCTTGGCCCACTGCTCCTGCTGCATGCGCCGCGCGTGCGTGGGGAGAATCTGCTGGTCTGGAGGAAGACGCGGATCCGGTTTGTACATGGTAGCCAGCCATGGAGGATCTCCTTCCGGCCGATTGATGGGATTAGGAGGGCCCCGACCGTCTGCTCTGGCTCCAGGCCGCTGAGTGCTGGACGGGAGACGAGCTCGGGGAGTCGCCTTTCTGGTGGCGGGAGGAGCAGAGGTCTTACGGCTGGTAGGTCCAGCCTTTGCTGGTGTTTTCTTGGCCGCCGTGGTCTGCGATGGGAACCCACGGCTACCAGGTCTGCTGCCATTGGAAGGTAGGCCGTTTGCTGCCTCCACCGTCAGTGGCTCACTAGCTCGACGCGGCATCCCGAACGACAGCGCTTCATCTTCACCATTGGTGAGGGCTCGGGTGCGCTGCCTGGGGAACTCTCGTCCAGCGTGTTCAGGCGAGATGGGGACCGGGCTGGCGGTCGGAATTGGGATCCGAGAAGAGCTCTTTCGCAAGCCAGGGTTATGGTAGAAGCTCGACGCTGCCTTCTCTTTCGTCTTGTCTGCAGCAATCTCGTCCGCCCGTCGAAGGTCCCAATCCTTTTGATCGCCTTGTGTAGTATCGTGAAGGTCATCGGCGTCGGAGAAAGGTTTGGAGTCGTAGGAGTCACGCGGTGACCCATCATGTAGACTGGGCCACGGTTCCGTCTGCTCGTTTGGCGAGTGTGGGGAAAAGGAGCGTCCGTTGACCCCGTGAGACTCATGGGGCCTTCCACGGCCACTTTGGATCCCGTCTGTGGCAGCCCGTCGCTGGAACAACTGCTGTAACTCTTCGCTTTCGATCTTGGCCAATTTATCTCGGTGGATCCATTTCTCGTTATCCAACTCTCCGAGGTACACTCCGATCCCCTCGCTTGTTTTTATTGCCCCATCCTGGCGTGGGATCTCGGCCGAGGCGTTCGCATCACTAATGCTGCGGTCTACAGGTTCGTGTCTATAGTGATGCTGCGAGTTGAATTCTTCACTTTCCCGTCGACTATGGCTAGCGTCTCGGCGACCGCGCGGATTGAACTGATCGTGGGCCTGGACGTGTCGTGACAAGGAGGAGCCGCGAGAGCCTTGGGGCCGATGCCCTCGGGAGCGCGAATCATGGGACGAGCGCGACTTAGAGCGATTATTAGTGCTCTAGCACAATCCAGGGTCAGTTCGTCTGATTCCTGCGACCCTCTTGGATCGGAGTATACTGTACAGTGGCTGCAAACTACCGCAGCGTGGCCACTGACTTCTAGGACACACTTACATCTTGTCGGATTGGAACCGAAAATTCCCATTGACTCCCGTCTACACTGGGTGACGTCCATGCATCTGTCGAGTATGTCGCGGTAGCCGTCCCCGCCATTCCAGCAGCAGCAAATATGGATCAGACAAGTCCAGACCAGCTGGAACCCGGTGTGCTGTTATGAAGGCGATCGTGACAAGGTCAACGAGCGGCTGGTCACTGGGCAAGGAACAATTTTTCTTCTCTCTTTCTGTTCTTGTCCCCGATCAGGCCATCCCAGAGACACACAGACCAGAATCACCAACCGCTCAGGGCAGTTCTGGTCGAAGTCCCTCCTCGGAGTTGACTGAGTTGAGAAAACAGCAGTCTGTATGATGTGAGGGGTAGGAAGGCTGGGAGAAGATGGGAGCCGGACGGTGAAGTGATGAATCGGTGGGAAAGGGGGCCGAGAGCACGAGCGAGACGAGCCGAAAAGAGGAAATTGTAAATAAGGAGAAAGTGGAGAATTGAACACCTTGGAATCGCTGCGCAACCGTCTATGTGGTTCCCCGGGGAGGTGGGTTGGGTTGAGCACTCGTTAGCCAGGGACCGGCGGAATCGGTACCGTGGATGTGTCGGTTCGGCTCAGGGAACGTCAAAAGACGGATGGCGGATGGGAGACGGCTAGGACGAGTCGAGAGCAGCTGTCAGATGAAGACTAAAGTAGTCGAGTATAAGGTGGAGGAAGTGAGAATGGATTAGATGCCCAGGTAGGGAGGGGCAGAGGTAAAAGACAAAATAAAGTATATTAAGCAGTGGGTGGAGGAGGAGGAGGGGGAGGCAAGGAAAAAAAATGCCAGGGAAAGGAGTGATGCAAAGGTGTGTGTGGCTGGACCGTGGCGTCAGGACAGCATCCGAGACACAGTTGAGCGGAGAACACGGGGTGAGTACGAGGAAGAAGGGATTCAGAGGAAGAAGAGGAGAGTGTCAAGTCAACTGTCCTAGAGCCCGGTGGTTGCAACAGGAAGAAGAGGAAGAGGAAGAAGAAGGCAAATGCGAGAGCGAAGAGCCGAGAAAGACGGGGTAAAGTAAAGGAGGCAGAGGAGGAGAAAGAAGAGGAGAGGAGGAGAAAGTCGAGGCGAGACTAGACTAGAGGGAGGAGAAGTAGATCAGGTTAGGACAAGCCGCTAGACTACTTGAGAAGAAAGACAGCCCGGAGACTAGGCAATTAATTAGGGACTACTCCGTATTTTCTACGGAGTACTGTACCTTAATCTTCTTTCTTATCCTTTCCCCCTCCTTGTGAAGGAGAGAGAGAGAGACATAGCCTAGAACCAATTGCTGGGTGGGCTGCGCCAATCATCCTGTGTCTCTCGGCAAAGATGAATTAGAGATGAATGTATCCACTGATGATACTTACTCATAGGATAGGCTCTGCCACCAAGAAAAAAAAAGCTTCACTACCAATAAACTACCCAACCCTCCCCCGGACGGGTCCTGATCTCAACCTAATGAACACAAGATTCTTTCAACTCATCTGGACTGTCTGCCATGCCGACAGTCGATCAGTCCGATTTGACATTCCCGACCACCCACCAGTCAGGCTGGAATGTCCCCAACGGTCTGCTGGTCGGCCCGCGATGGGGAAAGGGACAAAGCACAAAGCACAAGCTGACAAGCTCGCATAGCACGTAGTTATCGCCAAATTGTGATAGATCGTTAGGCCCCAAGAGGAAGGGGAAGAGTGGGAATCTCAAGGCCGTGACAGCGAAGAGATCTAAGTTCCATTTCGGTTTAGTTCGATCTCAGCATAGAGTTTCTGCTAGTCTCCAAACCAACTGCATGCTTACTTGATCACCTCCCGGGCTGAAGTACTGTATGTACTGTACAGTACACATGCACTGACCGTGATACGAGGTGCTTACCCTCAGACAGAGCGAATGGCATTACAGATATGTAGCTGGATGGGGAAAAAAAGTACACAGGATGGTATAGTTATGTGTTGTGCGTAACCCAGCGAATGATCAATCACTCTGGTTGAATTTCCATGCCGGTCGACTACACCGGCATACCTTACGTCGGTCCCAGCCTTCCTTCTCCGACACATTCGATATACGACCGTCTCAGTCCCATCTCTTGCTTCGTCCGCCGCGGAATTCGAAGGTTAAGCTAGGCGCACGTGGCACTATTCACTGGGAGTATCCATAATAAGAACAATAGCAGGATTAAGTGACAAGAATCTTATCTGGTAGTTCCCCACCCGAGACAACATCCGACGCCAGAACCGTGCAGAATCCTATCCACAGGTGACATTTGTATATGCATTGAAGCAACGTACCCAAGCTCGGTGCTCAGCAAGCAACAGAGAAAGAAACCGATCCCAAAGCCAGAGCTGGAGTCAACGAAGTGTAAATCACAGCCAATAAACAAAAAAGCAATCGAACAAATGCTAGAGGGGAATAAAAAAATAGGTTCAAAGCTTCTTTCCATGCAGCAAGAGTAGTATTATGGTCTTTCCGTGAGATGTGATAAAAAAAGGGGTCATGTACATAAAATGCCAGGGTACTTAGTTATTCAGTGCCTGGTCAAGCTTGGCCAGTAAGCCCTGTGCCTCCTTGACCAACGCGCGACGAGCAGCACGGTCCTCGTCATTCGTGATCTCAATCCCGTCTGCCTTCAGGATGACCTGGGCGAGGATGGTTTCGCTGAGCTTCTTATGCTCGAAATCGCGTGCTTTCGGATCCGCCGGGGGATTGGCAAAGTACTCTTCACAGAGAGGGAGTAATTCCCGATGAAGATACGACAAGAGGCCGTTGGCTTGATCCAGCGGGGTGCGGAAGGAGTTGAGGCTAGGTGCAGGTGAGGGCATGGCTGAACGGCCGGGCGAGGGGGATGGTCGCGCCGCTTGCGCCGGGGGTGGTAGAGTGGCCGGGTCGACTGCTGCGCCACCAGGGCCCGGCTTCTTGCCCTTCTTCCCGCGCTTTTTGTTCTTGCCCGATCGCTTGCGAGGGGGTTCGTCCTGGCGCGGAGGAAGTTCAACCTCCGCCTCGGACGTCTCACTTGGCGAGCTCTCCCCGGGCTGCACCTCCGAGACCACGCACAAGACCTCTGACTGCTGCTTGAGTCCCTCCGCCCGGCAGGGCAATGAATCGTCGTCCAACAGTTTTCCTTTGTACAGTAGTCGGATCCGCTTCGGGTCAGGCGTCTGCGTCACCTCTGCAGCCCGTTGTCTCAGCTGACCCACACTGAGGGCGCCCTCATTGATGGAGTAAGCAGGGAAGTGCAGGTCGTAGGTGTTCTTGCGGTGTTTCAAAAGGATGGTGTCGGGCTCAGCATCATCGACACCGGGGTACTGGTGTCCATACTGTGGCTGTCTGAGCGGGTTGACGATCTCGTCCGTCGTGATGTAGCTGAAATCGTTGTCGGTTACATGGGGAGGGTTTTGAACGTTGGTGTGGTTGGGAGAACGGCGCCAGAAGGTGAAGGGACTGCGCCAGGAAGACATGACGATGATTGCGATCGCACACGCGAGAAGAGTGTAGGTAATCGGGGCGGTATAATCGCTGGCGGCGTGATCCGGGTTCGGCTCCGGCCAAGGCGTGAGAAAACGCAAGGGAGACGAGGCTTGAGCTGACGAAAGAGTGGTGGTGAGTTGATGGTGCAAAGTGTGTAGCGAAGGAGACAGATTGGTGGCGACGTGGTCGATGTAGGAAGCACACGTCTCGCCCAGGGAGGACAGAGATATGTGCGATAGCAACTGGCTCATGGATTGTCGGCCAAGAATGGGTCAATGGGAGGGGGAATGACGAGGGTGTTGAGGTCACTGGAAGTTTGCCCTGGGCCTTTCTTCCATTAGCTCCGGAATAGGCAGAGAAGGCGGAGAGAGCCTCTTTTTGCTCTTTTTTTTTTTTTGCCGCAGCCGCCTGGAAGCTGAAAGGCTGTAAGATCGCCTTGTCTGTTCGTCACGAATGTTCGATCGATTGAAATCAATGTGGTGTCTTATGATTTTTGTTATTTCTCCTGTCTTTACTGTACAGTATAAGCATATTGCATGCCCGCCAAAGCCCCTCCTTCCATCAAACCTGAGGGGTAGGCTCACCACAAGGCTGAGTTGATTACTATCTGTCCCCAAATGAATGACCAATTGCTTTGCAATCATTCCCCAAAGTTAATGCCAATGGCTGAGGCAGACCGAGCGTCGCATTCATCTTGCAGCATAAAGCAGCAGATCATTCCCACGTGATATGCGACTGTCATGCCTAAGTTACCACCTAGTACACAATCATGTCTTTGACAGATCTCATCGGCTTATCATTAACATGCATTAGCCATTTCAAACACCTGCCAAGCACACATAGAGGTATTGATACCACAACTGAGGGGTTTTGAGCCGGTACATCGACCGCAGTAGAGGGGTAAGTAGTTATCTTGACCTACTCAGTAAATTAATATGCTAGGCGACGTCATCAACCTGGGACAGCGGCTTGTAGAAGGGCCAACCGCAGCTCACTCTGTCCTGTTATATAGCAAGCCCTGTATAGTACTACTGTACTGTCTATATGGCGCTATGCAGGGAGAAGCAATTATCCGACCCAGCCATGTTAAATGCATCATCTAGGATACCCCTCAGGTGATTCTTGACGAGACGAGCGTTCTGTCAATGTTACAGTCGGACGAGCACAGATGGCATGGAATGGAAGAGCGGAGCAACATTACACAGTCTATCCGAGAAGTAAGTGGCCTGCCTCAGGGGCCACAATGGTTTTGTCACCTCCGGTGCTCTCCGGTGCTCTTGCAAGGCTGGCCGACCTATCCATACATGAAATTCCAGGTACCCGCGAATCGTGCTAGGCAGAAGCAGCTGGAATTGGGGCTAGTTGCTGTTTTCTCTGCCTTGACTGACATCATTGTATCCACTAGTTTCTGGGAGATTTACTACTCTGCAACAAGTCATTGTTCTCACAACGGAAAAAATTATATTATATACAGTTATAATCTTACATAATTACATTACAATTGCTCACTGGCGGAAGAACGTACTCAAGATGTCTTCAAAGTCTGACCCCGCCAGGTGCAGGCCGGCCACCAAACCATCTCGCGAGACCACTGCTGCCATCGTTACCTTCATTCCCCATCCACCG